TTCTTCGCACTCAGGGGAACTGGGGACCCACAGCAGAGACCCAAGTCCCCCCACCCCACCCGATCTGGGCCTCTGAGAAGGTCTACCCTTCTCATTTTTCACAAGGAGGGGGAGAAAGGGGCTTTGGAGGGGGTGAAACAATTGTCGTGCGGTTTGCTTTTTTTCCCCCTCAGCTGCTTCCTGTGCTGTTATAATGGGCTGAAGAACTCTTTCCTGTGATAGCCAAACCCCGGCTGCTCCCCGCAGCTCGGGGCCTCAGCACGGTCCTCTTGCCAGGGGAGGTCTTGGGTGGTGTCAGGCTGCCACAGAAGAAACCCCAAGGTAACTTGCATCCGGGGAATGGGGCTGCCACTCAGAGGCCCCTGGAACTGGGGTGGGGGGGAGGGGAAAGGATGGATGGCTGCCTTCGAGGTGGCCCAGATCTGAGCCTGCAGATGCCAGCTCCATCCCTGTCCAATGACAGCGTGACATGGCTCAGTCTGAAGACTGACCTAGGCCCCAGATCATTACCGCTTCACTCGCTCTAAAAGGGCCAAGTTCTCTGTGTGTGAAATGCGGCGCATGGACATCTCGCATGTGGTATCAGGTTTATGTCAGAGTAAATACATTGGTAGGCTAAAACCTAAGGTCCACACACTACATACAAAGCGAAGGCTCAAGGTGACCCCGAGGCGTGTGGTTTCCTGTGTGTCTCTTTTCCTAAGTGGAAGAAAACAGGGCGGAGGTGGGGGCCCTGGCTGTGAGGGGTGGGTACTAAGCCTGTTCATGTTGTCTTACCATGTGAACTTTAAACCAATGGGGTGGGGATGGGAGGGAAGGAGGTGGGAGAGAGGGAGGGAAGGGGTAATACTGTCCCCAAAGAAATGTACCCAGCAGCTGACTTACGTAACTGTAACTCCTCTGCACATCACCTTTATGTTCACAAGAAAAATACAAATTAAGCCAGGTGCCGGTGGCTCACGCCTGTCACCCTAGCTACCCAGGAGGCTGAGATCTGAGGACTGTGGTTCAAAGCCAGCCCAGACAGGAAAGTCTATGAGACTCTGATCTCCAGAAGATACAAAAAGAGAAAAAAGAATCTCTGGAAGTAGGAGCTATGGCTCAAGTGGTAGAGCTCATGGATGGCACCTAGTCCCTGGGTTCAAACCCCAGAGCTGGCACAAAAAGAAAGAAAGAAAAAGAGAGGGGGGGGAGTTGAGGGGAAGGGTTGGGAAGAGAATGAAGAAAAGGGGAGACATGGATCTAGGGCACTGTACTCTGAACTGATTTGTACTCCTTTGTACAACTACCTTAAAATAACAAAAAATGTAATTAAAAAAAAATGTCTCCAGACCAGAACAATCCCTTGTAAGAAATCCCACCCTCTCATATCATTTCTCTCAAGAATTGCACCCTCTTTGGGTTGTTCCTCCGGTGGAAGCTTGGCTGAAGTGGCCATGTGTGGAGGAGATGCCACCATCCTCGGCACAAAGACTGGCACTGGAAAGCCAGCATGCCGCCGCTTTGCATCATGGGAGGCATCCCACAGTCACTTGACAAGACCTGTGAGGTATCATTGTACAGACACAGGGCCTCTATCACCGCTTTCCCCTTCCCTCCCTGCGCCTGCCCACAGATCCGTCTTCCGAGACTGACACTCGACATATAATAACCTGTTCCTGTAGGAATGGAGGGCACCCATCCAAAAGAGCCACCTTCTCTCCCTACACCCATAGCTTCCTCTCTAAATCGGTCCAGGGCTGGACCTACTGCTTGCCCAATTGGCCCAGGCAGCAAGGGAAGGGCTGGTATGAAGGCCTCCACAGGAAGTGACGGATAAATTCTGTGTCCTGAGTCCACTGTTGCTGGTCTATCTGTGCCGGAAATGAGAGTGAAGCATGCCCTGGACACTTAGGGGTGGTTGCAAAATGGCAAAGGAAGAGGCCCTGGGTGTGTTGAAAGCTGAGATCACCTTCTGGGCTTCTGCTCACCAATTCCCATCCCCTCCCCCCTTTTCTTGGCCTACTCAAGTTCTGCCGATCTCCCCTAGATATGGGAGACCCCTTCCTACCTACCTGAGTCCCCTACCACTTCCATGTCCGCTTGCCCTTTCTTCTCCATCCCTTTGGCACTTGGTGAAATTGATCACAGAGCCAAACTCCCCTTGCAAAGAGCAAGAGGAGGAGGAGGGCAGCTCAGGAGACAGAGGGCCTAAGAGCTGTGGGGTCACTCTGAGTGGGTGTCAAATTCTTAACGATCATGTAAATAATGCATGATGACAGCCATAAAGCTAGAAATGGAATTATCCTCATTACATGCGAAACCCTGCACTCCGCTCATTCATGCACCCTCCATTTAACAAGGGCATCCTTGAATGGGCCAGTCCCTCCCCACACACCCACTCCCCATCCCCACCCCCCCACTGGCAGCCTGGGAGGCTACCCCAGGTGCCACCCCAACTCCCTGTCAACACCTTGGGCTACTAATGCCAGGGCCAAGCCTCTGAACCCTAGATAGGGCTCTGCTCCTCAAATCAAATCTAAAAAGACAAGGCCAAAAGGCCCTGCACAAAGGCTCCAATGAGGTGGCTGATATCTGCTTTCGTCAACTACAAGTGAATAATTAATACTTGCCAGGAAAGAAATAGACTCATTGTTATGGTGGCCACATGGAGGCCACAAAAGGCCATTCTGCGAGGCTCTTGGTGGATCCCTGGGGCTAGCAGTGGCCCAGAGAAGCCTCTTTGAGCTCATAGGCCAGATGCTGCAACGGGAGGACCCAAGCCCTGCCCAGTTCTCCAGGAATGCCGTTTCCAATGCTAATGAGCTTGTCCTCTATTCATCACCTAATGCCTATGCATCATTCAATTTGGTTTTCTGAGCAGTGATACAGCCCCAGAGACACACTGAACACCAGGAGGGTGTAATTTTGTCTTTGTTGTTGTTGTTTTTTAAATCCTCTTCTGTGCCAGTCTCTGACCTGAGTAAAAACTCTCCAACCCTTACTGGATTCTGGGCCCCACTCTTGGCCTATTGCCTAAAGCAAAGTTTTCCTTTTCCATTTTCCAGCACACATGCATACAAGGGTGCCCACAGAAACCAGTCAGAACTGGCCAGGAAATATAATAAAGCAGCTTAGTGAACAGAGAGATAATGCCCCCAGCCAAGGGGCTCGGCCAGCACAGCTACCCAGAGGCACTGGCTTTGTTAAGCAACAACTCATTCTTTCTGTGGTCTCCTAACCACCCGGGGAAGATGGCAGCTGGTGCCAGCAAGGGACTCCTGTGTCAAAGTTTCACGACATACATGTGGATGCTGGGTGCTCAACAAAAGCCTTCTGACACACACAGACACACACACACACACACCTACTTTTCCAGTATTTTTGCTCTCCGGGCCAAAAGCTGCCCTTGCTAAATACAGAGCTGACAGCTGCTAGACACTGTCATTTCTGAGTTGGTTCCCCATTAGAATTTACCCAGCCACCCACCCACCTTCAACTCCAGCTCACATGGGAAATTCTACCATTAGAGAAGAGTTCATTCTGCCACAGAAAGCGTTATTCCCACCCTTACTCCACAACCCCCCCCCCAACCCCCATTAAAATGTCTTCCATGCTTATTTCCTTTCTGGTCCACCGAATTCTCAAAAGCACCTGTTCTGCATCCAATGGGAAATTTTCATATTTGGCTCTTCAAGATCAGTGCGATTCACTGGCTCCTTCCTTGAAAACAAGTGCTGACGTTGGAGAGAAGGAAAGAGCAGACCCCCGGACAGAAGGGGAGGAGGCAGTGGAGGTTCAGAGGCCCCAGGGAGAGGTCCAGAACTGGGGTACAGTCATGAAAAACAGCCAGACGAGGCCCTGACAATCCTGACCATGGATACACACCTAGGTTTTTGCCCTCCAAGATCTAAAGGCCGGAATGGATCCTCGCAGGGCCTGTACTCGGGAATAAAGCCTGGACATACACTGTCCTAAGAGTGACAGAGGCAGGACGTGGAAAGCGAAGGATAGGACCCACCACCACTGCTGAGGCCCTCCGGTCCGCAGGCCTGCCATGGGGCCTGGCTGGCCACGCGGAACCAGCGCCAGCTTACCCATAGGGGAGAGAGCTAGGAGAAGCTGCTTGCCTGCCTGCAGGTTCTCGGCCTAGCTGGAGGGGCAGCTGCCCATGACTCCCAGGAAAACTGGCTAAGCAAAGTTCAAAGGCAGATTCGGGCCAGCCGTGGAGTCCTTTCCACCCAGGCTTTCTGAAACCACGCCACCTGCCCCCGATGCCCCCCTGCCCCCTCTGCCCTACGCAGGTGGGGGGGGGGGAGCGGGGTAGGATGGTCGGTTCCGGCCAGGGCTGCAGCTTTCTGGTGCTATCCGAGCTCAAGGAAACCAACCTTTCCAGCCAGAGGTCTGCCCACCGATCCCTTCTCCCCCACCCCCCCACCCCGTCCTCCCTTCCCCCAGACAGCCTGGTCTAGCCCGGCTGGTGCAGGCCAGAAGGCTTCAAAGCAATCAGCCCGGTTTCCCCCCCAAACCCAGCACCCCCGCCCCGCACACATGGGCCCCCCCCAGCCCGCGACCCCCGGCGGGCAGCGGCCAGGCCGGCCCGGGGGCGGCGGAGGCCGAGGCCAGGCCCCCCCCCCCCCCGCGCTCAGCGCACCCCGCCCCGGGCGATCCGCTCGGCGCCGCCCCGGGGGTCGCGGCGGGGCCCGCGGCGGCCGCAGGTGTCTCCGCCGCCCGCGGTGGGCGCCGCCTCCTCTCGGGGGCCCGGGGCGGCTCGGGCCCGGGGCGGGCGCACCTGCTGCAGCCGGGGCCGGCGCGGCGGCGGCGAGGGGGGAGGGGAGGGACGCCCGGGGGGCGCGGGGGGCGCGCGGGGCGGGGGGGGGGCTGCGGCGGGGCCTGCGGGGACCCCGGGCCGGGAGCTGGGGGGGCGCCCGCCCCGCGCGCATCCTCACTGCGGCATCCGCCACCCCCCCCACACCCCCCCGCACACCCCGCCGCTCCCGGGGCCGGCGAGGGTCGCTTACCTGGGTCTGCAGATCGCCCGGGGAAGGGACCGAGGCCACCGCTGCCAGGCCCCGCGCCGGGGCGCAGGTCGCCGAGCCCCGCTGCGCTCCGCGCCCCCGCTCCGCTGCGCCGCCCGCTCCGGCTCCAGGCCCCGCCCCGGACACGCCCCCTCGCCGGCGCAGGCCCCGCCCCCTCCCCGGGCCCCGCCCCCTCGCCGCCGCGGCTGTCACACAAAGAGCCGGAAGTGGCTGCGGCCGGGGGCGCTCGGCTGCACCCTGGAGCTCGGGGTTTGGGGGCGGCGGTGGGGAAGGGAGGTGGGAAGCGCTGGATCCGGAGCTCCAGCCCCTGAGCGCCGGCCTGGGTGCATCGAATGGAGGAGGAGGGGGAGGCCAGTCCCACCTGCAGCTCGGCCGGACCCCAGCTCTGCGCGTCCAGGTGTCTGCGGCCCCGGCCGGCCGCTGGGTGTGGGTGGGGCTGCGGGAGGCCACGCCCCCCGGGGTCCACCTGCTTCATCCGCCCCGGCTGGGCGCGGCCCACCCCGGGAAGGCGTCGGGGAAGCCATCGAGGGGAGAGTGGGCTCAGGTGGGACCTTCCCGCCACCGTTGGTCCCTCCTGCGCCCCAGCATGAGTAACTCACCCCCTGCGAACAGGGGTTTCGTAGCCGGGGTCGGTGTCAGCCTCGGGAAAGCGGTGCCCAGGGCCGGGGAGGACCCGGGGACGGGCACCTGCTTCCCCTGTGACAGAACGCCGCTGGACGCCTGTCATCCCAGCCCACGGGAGGCTGAGATCTGAGGATGGCAGTTCGAAGCCAGCCCTGGCAGGAAAGCCCCATGAGGTTCTTATCTCCAATGAACCACCAAAAAGCTGGAAGGAGAGGTGTGGCTCAAGTGGTAGAGCACCAACCATCAGCAAAAAAAAGAAAAGCGCGAAGGGACAGTCCCCAGGTCCTGAGTTCAAGCCCTAGGACTGGAAGAAAGAAGCAAGAAAGCAAGAGAAGGAAGGATGGAAGGAAGGATGGAAGGAAGGAAGGAAAGAAGGAAGGAAGGAAGGAGGTACAGGGGCTGGGAAGGTGGCTCAGTTGTAGACAGCTTGCCTTGCATGCATGAGGCCCTGGGTTCGATTCCTCAGCACCACATAAGCAGAAAAAGCTGGCTCAAGTGGTAGAGCGCTAGCCTTGAGCTGAAGAGCTGAGGGGCAGTGCCCAGGCCCAGAGTTCAGGCCACACAATGGACAAAAATGAATGAATGAATGAATGTAGGTACAGATACAGGGGAAGGTCTTGCATCAAGGAAATGTTCGTAAGAGCCTTCACATTTGTCCCTCCCCCTCCAGCTGACCCATGAAGGGCGGAAGCTGCTCTACTGCAGTCTCAGGGAAGAACTTGCTAAGTCTTTGCCTTCCGTGATCACACGTTGCACACATCATTCCCCGTGTGCACAGAACTCACGAGCCTCTGTGGCTTGGTGTTACATCACTCCTCTGATTTAAATTGCTATTTCAGAACTGATGACTTACATAGAGAGACCCATATATTTCCCTGATGCCTTGGGAGAAGGCTGTGGGGGTGTTTGTGGAGGATGCCTTCAAAAACAGAGCTCAGATTTTCACATATATATATATTTCACATATATATATATTTCTACCACAATCTTTGAGATTTCAAGTGTAATAATAACAAATTCACTAATGACAAAGAATCACAATAAGTCTGATTTTCATTCTAAAGGGCATACTATTTTGAGTAGTTCTCTTTTTCTGAGAGACATGTA